GTTTTTGCGCTTGTCCATGTTCACTTCTTTCCTTTATATTGCAGTTTAACACCTTTCTTGATTTTCGGTACTGTAATTGTATATATATATATATATATATATATATGTTCTGGCCTTAATCCACACGGTCACAAGCTCCGATTTGAGCTTTTTTTTTTTAAAGTAAAGTCTTTGGTTTTAGCCATGGCCGAGTTTCACAACCAGCAATACAACTGTGGATCAGTCAAGGCCTCATCGAAGAGTAAGCGGAACGGTTTCTCCACCAAGTGTGCTTCGTTGGTTAAGCAACAACTTGCTCGAGTCTACATCTTGCACCGCTGTGCCACCATGCTCCTTTGCTCGTACTTGCACACCGACGATTAGCGACCCAACAAAGACTCGTATGCTCCATCGACAACAGGCTTATGCTGCTTGGTTCAATGGGGGGCTAAAGTGTGGTGCAATTGTTTTTTTCTCATAGTTTCCTTTGCGTTTTTTGACGTGAGAAAAGCTTAATTATGGTCGCACTCTTTGCTTTTTCACCAAGCTGAGGTGAAGAATGATTTTGATGGAGTTTTGGTTGTGCTATTTACAGTATAGTTGTTTGCATGTTGGTATTAAGGTTAAATGTAGACATTGAATTGATTTTCTGTTTCTGTTTCTCCTTCTCTAACTCCTTTTTCGGTAATTGAAGAAGTGTTATCTATGCCTATGAAAGCATTAATAACCCTTTAAGGAATCACTACTTGCAGCTGTAAAATGTAATGGTTGAGCTGTGTAACAGAGTTCATCTTTTAACCATGACTTAAGAAGTATACATAATTCCGATATTATGCAACGACGATTAGTTGTGAAAGAAAATAGATATTACGCATACTTCTTAAGTCATGGTTCAAAGACGAATCTGTAAGCAGTGCAAAACATGTGTTTTATTACCATACATATCTATATGGTTCCCTTTATATGATCCACCAAAGCAAGACTCTCCGCTCCAAAGTATACTTGTTGTTTAGTTAAAGTCATCGAGCCTAATGGTTATTGACTTGTTCATAAATGGGTTTCGACATATCTGTGTATTGTGTTAGTTTACAACAGCAAAATTAACAAAAGATGCTGTGTACATTGGACACACTTCCTTCTCTTTCAAGCTGGTCTTGAACGTCGGAATTAGTCGTCGTGGGCCGGTGATCGACGCTCTAATACCATATGAGATTTTTTAAATATAGTGACTAAAGATTGAACAAATATATGATATAGAAGAATAATGATTTAAGAGCAAAATTGCAGAAAAAAAATTATTCATTTTTCTTCATTTGTGTACAGAAGAGAAGTCTTCTTTATACAGTAAAGGTTTGGATGATCAACTGTTCTTAACAGCTTAACCGAAGGTCTTAACTAATAATGTAACGGCCATAAATGATTAGTTTTTTTTTTTCAAAAATCTCACCGAACTCTTCACCTCGAGGTGACGAGTTCTATGATGATCGTCGCAACTGCCCGTTGTGCAACGACTGAAACAACTATTTTTTTTTAAATTCAAGGTAAACTCGTCACCTCGACATAATTAGATTTACAATTTTTAAAATTTTAAATTATTTAGTAAATGAAAAAATATATTTTCTAATGGGACTCATTAGAAAATATTAAAATATTGGCCTACATGGAGACCACATACCTAAGACTAATAAAAATTATTTTCATATGAAACTCGTTACGTCAAAATGATGTGTTTTTTGATTACCGTAGCAAATGCCGTATATTGTAAATTAAAATCTCTATTGGTCTATCGAGTGAATTAATTTTATTGCCAGGTGTATTGGGAAAAAAACCAAGTATATAAGGTCCCAAAGGCTCAAGACACAGATGGGCCTTAAAGGCCAATAATGGTGTGGATTAAGATTAATGTCGAATAATGGGATTCTGATTAGGATTTAAGATTAAGTTTAATGTGCAAGATTTAATTCGAGTTTTAAACTAAAAAATGACCCACTTCCAGAAACATTTTATCGTCTGTTGGATTGGAAATGCTTAAAGAAGAACAGTGAAAGCATCAATCTTGCTTCTTATTTCTTATCTTATCTACTGAGTTTTCAACCAAAAAGTAAGAATCTTGATTTCTTTTTCTTTGTATTCCATCTTATCTCTTTACTTTCCCCCCCAAAGTTTATGTTTTTATCTCCTAAGAAATTCTTAAAGTAAAGATTCATAGAGTTCATCAATTTTAAGATAACAGATGTCAGAATATGATTGGGCAAAAGTCATGGTAAAAAATGAGCCAAGGTACGTTTCATCATCAATCTTTTTCATGGCCATATCCATTGCGTGGCCAAGTTCATTGCTAGGGATGATATTTTAACCCTAAATTAATGAGTTTTGTTTCGATTCGATAAGATCATATATTTTTAAAATACTTGGGTTCGAGTTAAATTTGTAAGAGAGTGAGGTCGGGTCAAGTTGGATTTCGGTGGAGGGGTAAAACTCTAGCCTAACATAATCTGAAGATAATAATGTAATTTTCTTAAAAAATATTTTTATTTTAATTAAAGTATATTGGGTTGAGTCGGGTCGGATCATATTTATAATCTAAAAATCCAGGTCAGATCAAGATTAAATGGAGTGAAGAATATATAATTTTCAGGTTAGATTCAAATTCGAATAGATGATATATATATATATATATATATATATTTTCGGGTTGAGTGGAGTTAACAAAAACTGTTACCATCCCTAGTTAATGCTGACACTAATTTTCCTTAGCAATACATTTTAAATAGTCAGAATTTAAACTATACTGTGTCGTTTTATATGTGCACTATTTCGATTCAAACAAGTGAACCGCCCTCCCCTATTAAAATAAACACTTCACTTTAATTCAATTTAATATATTAATTTCAATTTTTAATTTTTAAAAGCTCCATTTTTCGTTTTGTGTACCAAATTACAACTTTATTAATGAAAAATACGAATAAGTTTTAAAAAATTAATTAATCCATACATAAAGCAAAGTGCATGAAAAAAGAGAATATATTGGCCCATTTAAAATGAACCATTCTTTTTCCTTAATAATGTTGGTTTAATTAATTAAATTTTTTTTAGTAAGTTTAAATATATTGTCCCATTTCAAATGAACCATTATTTTTCAGTTTATTTTATTTACAAATCTTATTATTTGAGAAGAAGATAAAATATCAAACCAACATCCCATATCGACTAATAAAATATAAAGGATGGATACCAAACATTTTTGTAATTTCTGTAAAATTCAAACCAAGAAAAGCAATAATAAGTAGATATTTTCCTTCCACTTATATATATCAGTCACGTGTGGTTGGCCATTGTGGTTCTTCATATTCTCTTCGTAAAAAAATATTGGATTGGACGACGTAATGTTAGCACTCACTTCTCTCTTCTGTTAAGTTGTAAACATCTTCTTCTTTGCCTTCATACAAGTTAAAAGAGCTGGCAGGGTTCAAAGGGACAGCGTTTAGAGTATTTGGAGGAGGAGGAAAGAGCAGGATCAAAATCAGCAAGAAAAAGAGTATAGTTAAAGAAAAATTCATGGATTGGTGGAGTAAGATGGTTTTCCCTCTTCATCGGTTTTGGGTTGCCGTTTCTTCCCCTCTTAAACCTCCCCAAAACGGTGCGTTTTCATACCTCCTCTCGTTATCTTTCTTAAACCGACTTAATGAACCCTTGGTCAACGTTCTTCTGGTATTTGTTGAAAGGAATGTTATGATTTATGGTAGAAGATGGAATTCTAACTTTTTTTTCATTTTACCCAATCCTATTTTCAATTTTAAATTAGGATAAATTACAAATTTCATCATTGAATATTATTCTCTCTTTTATCTTGCTTATTGAATTTTAAAAGTTTTTAATTTTCTAACTAAATTTAATACATTGAGTTTTTTTTTTCATTGAAACTTTTGTATTTCTCCTATTTTGATTATTCCGTCGTTAATAGTTAACAACAATAAAAACGATACTATTTTAGAAAAATAAAATTTTCATCAAAATGATGTCATTTTGTATTTATATAATTATTTATTTTAACGCCGTTAACTTTTTTAACAGTTAAGTGAATAAAAATGTTATGAGAAAATTAAAAAAATAAAATGCAATAGTAAGACAAGAGAAAGAATAAAGTTTAGTTACTAAATTTATAATCCATTTTGTTATGCCCGATATCCAATTTATATATAAATGGAAAACCCTTTTTAATTTTTATATTTAACTTTCATAACTCTATTTGATCGGATATATTTATAATTGCATGAAAGAAAAACATGTCTAGATTTTCACTGATATGTTTTAATATGCTGAAACCCAAACTGATAGTGTGCACCGTGAAGCCATAGCTTGATGGTCCATGCACTCAAAAAAGGTGGGATCAGCATCTTTTTCAGTGCAACTTTGTTGCCTTGATTTAACAATGGCCTGAAACAACAAACGTATCACTTTTTTCCTTTCTTCATTCAACCACAATGTCTAGTGCTCAATCTTGACTGAATCACAACGATGGACCACTTCACTCAAGATCATCCCAATTAATGCTAAATATGCCTTCCAAAAACAAAAAGAATCCATAGTTTGTTTTTTACTAATAATTCCATAATAATTGATTCAGGTGGAGGGCTCTTAAAGCTACATGATGATATACAAACTTGTGGATACCAAGATGTGCAGGTGATGTGGGAGATGCTCAGAAGATCCGAGACCCAGCTGATCGCCAACAATCACAAGCGAAAACAACGACCCTTCTGGCGAGTTTTTGTATGGTCTTCGAACAACAACAATGCATCATCCACACTCATGTCGGCAAATCATGCTTAATTTCGAAATTCATTTATCTTTCGAAACAATTTTTGTACGATATACTAAATAGTAATTTGACTTCTATTCTATGAAAGAATAATAGAGAAGTAATCAATCAAAACATCCAAAGAAACTGATCTGCAAAATTACCATACTCTTTATATGAAAATTTTAGGCACATAGACAGTTTGCAATCAAATTGGCTTGGCTGGAGCACGATCTGTGGAACCAGTCAAAGGAGGCTGAATCGGATTTTGAGATTTAAACTGTACAAGGGATATGTTGAAGAAGAAAAAACCAGTGTTTAACCAGTAAAAGTTACTCTACTCGGGTCGATGTGTCCACTGCAGTAACTTGAAGGAACAACCGAGATCTCCTGCCTTCCTTTCCACTCTTCACCGGGTTTCAAGGTGATGGGATTCTCTACACAAGCAGCCTGTACGCAAAGCATTTGCTTATACTCTTCATCGCCAAAATCAGCCATTGCCTTCGCTTTCTTGTCCCAGGGATTCCACACAACTGAAATATAGATATAGGAAACAATATGTTTTACTAGCTGTAATCGACAACAATAATTTATATGCTTATCCGATCAAATGTTTTACATGTCCTACCCGCAGCGTTCTAATTAGCACGGAAGTGTATAGAGATAATAAACTTACCTGCATCGGGAAGTCCATCCTTTCGCAACACAAATGTTCGCTTCCTTTCATGGTCAAGGATGGCAATTTTTGTTGGTGTACTGAGGTATATTTTATCCACCTTTTTCATCAAGGTCAATAAAATAAATAAATTCAAATTAGATTTGAAAGACATGGAAATATAAGCCTGCTTTAAGAAAAATTGACACTAACTTCTGACTCAAACGTTATTGTATCCCCTTGTTCAGTGAACCGCTCCCTATTCTGCAGGTTATCCAAATAATCCAGTGTCTCTAGTCCTTCTACTCGCACTTCACTAAATAAAAGTAAATACAAAATGAAATGTACAGAACAAAGAAAAAGTCATAGAAAAATATCTATGATAGATATGTTATCAAAAGGTAAAATAATTTTTTTAAACCTGATATCGGTGACGAAAAAACATGAGTGATAGGCAAATGTAAATGTAAACAACTTTCCATCGGTGTTAGTATTTCGGATGCGGGATGTCAACAACAAATCACCTGCAGGAGTCAGTGCTACCCTCAACCGAAACTCAAACCTGCACAGAATTGCATATCCCTTAATTCACATGATATAACTCTAGTATCCATCTCACATGCGTAGGTTATGCCACATAAAGGCAATCAATTTATCCGTAAGAGAACATCTATGATTGATTTAAAACTAGATATGGGTTAGCTACAAAACAGCACACAACCTGATGCCATAGAATACAAAAGCTGGAATAAAGGATATAAAATCTGGTCCAGACAGCAGTTTAACAATTTTTCTTAAAGGGGTCATTGAAATCAAGATGTCAATTTAGGAACTGTATTAAATAAAACAAAGTTCATATAGAGCAATGCACTTGTGAGGCCAGATCTTCAGCTCTTCTTCAGAGTGCCTGAGAATTAAGTCGACGAAGGCCCTGGTAGAAGCATGTGATGAACATGGTGGGGGATCAGGATCAACACTCCATAGTAGATTTCTTGCAAATCCATGTTTCTCAAGAGAATCAATATTCCCGAACTGCATGGTTAAAGAATTAAATTTGAATCAAAGAAATAAAAATAACGGGGGGGGGGGGGAGGGGTGAGAGAGAGAGAGCTTAGAAGCACATACTTGAGGAAAACAGATTGGTATACCTCCACGGATAGCCTTAGGTGGCTGAAAAATAGCCTGCAGAAAGAACACACGCTTAATTGAAAAGGCAATACAAATAGGTGGTAGATCCATTCAAATTGCTGTACTTTTTCCTATATAAAAATCAGCATGCATCGATTGTTTCAATTACAATTATTTTGTACTTAAAAAAATAGAATCCTTGACTGTATCAAAATATCGAACTCTTTATTTATTTATTAACTAATTTTTTAACAATAACCTCCTCAAAAAGAAGCAGCATTAAGTATCAATCAAACACCTAAAAAAAATACTATATAACTTGCAAGTAGTTGCTGAGTAGGAGTAAATGATAACTCACTACTACTGCCAGTGTGATAAAATTTATTCAATGAACCATTGCTTGTTCATTCAAATACTATTTCTAATGATGAAGCGTAGATCACTAAAGGCAGTAGAAGTGGTAACTGCAATTCATTTAAATTATTATGCTAAATAATTTCTAAGAAGAATAGTTCTAAAACAGGTACCTTATTACTAAGGAAAAGCAACTCTTCCCTTTTGTCATTCTTCCAAGACGTGACTTGGCTTCCAAAGAGATACAACTGTTTAAGGAAAACAAAGTAGGATTGAATACAAGAAATCGTTAAATATTGCACATGAAGTTTTGTTTCAAGAATCATTCCGGCTATTTTGTTCAATTGATTCGTGCATTTTTTTTTATAATTGAGTTCAAACAGTTTAGCTTCATTTCTCTTCTTTTCAATAGAAAACACGCAAACCTATTTACTACTGCAACAAAAGAATGAATCGTTCATTACTCAAAACTCAATGCAAACTTAACGAATAAACATAAAATTTATTAGTCAAGGCTAAATCATCACAGTTTAGTTTCATTATACAGGCAACTATATCGTCGCAATTCGCAAGATCCATATCTATAAAACGAATAATTAAACGAACAAATTACGTTAAACAAAGTTACTTCTTGCAATGCGGTTAACATTTCGACACACATTTCAATATTGCGGACTAAATTCACCAAACAAACAATTTCTTTCCGAAAATAAAGGATAGCAGAGACAATAATGATTGGATAACGAAATGTAAACGAAAGATCGTGCAACAGACAAAAAGAGAGAATGAAACGGGAAAAAAAAACCTCAGCAGAGTAACCGCGAATCTCCCTCAAGATGACCTTATCGAGGCCATTGATGCCTTTACAATGCTCGACATACACGTTCTCTGATGCCATTGATGCATTCGAGATATTGAATCGATCTTTCAAAGAAATAGAAAAAAGGAAAACAGAGCGAGAGCGAGAAGTGGAGTATTATTGTGGATTTTCGGAGGGTCTACTAATTAAGGCTATTTTTTGTAGCGGATAGTTATTACAATTTATCAAATTTTTAACAATTTTATATTTTAGAAAAAGATTTATTCATGATTTGACCCATAAAGTATTCTACTTGTTTTCATTTTATTACCTAATTTTTTTTTATTTTACTATTATACCTAAATTATTATAGATTGTTATTCGATACATTTATAGTACATTAAAATCTAATTATTAATAAAAGTCTTTACCGTAACAAATAATTATTTAATTATTTTCATCTCATTTTACCTTTAGAATTATTGGCATTCAATAAAAATATGTCGATATTTAAAAATAATTATGATATAAAAAATAATAAGTTAAGTATTAAAATTGATTTTTTTTTATTAAAGTGAGAATATGAATAAAATTAAAACATCAAATCTTAAATTAAACTTAATTAATCTAAATATACTTTTAAAAAGTATTTTAAATATTAAAGTAAACTATGTAGCACTTAATTTTAGATAATGTATAATTTATATTATTGAATTTTTAATTTCTTTAACTATAATACTAAATTTTAATTTTGACTTTAATTACGTCATTCGACAGTTAAAATCTAAATAGTATGATGATATGACAAAATAAAATCATTTTAATGTGGGTATTGATGATTAAAATGATATAGTTTTAGACATTAAACTTTAAGGGTGAATTGATTTTATCAGTAAATTTTTAATTTCTTCAGTTATATCAATAAACTTAGTTTTGACTTCAATTATGTTACAGAGTCGTTAAAATCTAAATAGTGTCATGAAATGGACAAAATGACATCGTTAGTGTAATTTATTGATGATTAAAATGGCGTCATTTTAAACATTGAACTTTAGTGGTGGAACGATTTGTCACTCAAATTTTAAACAATTCATTTTTTGACACTATAGTTGTTTTTAACTATCGACAATCAATCATCACATGTTATCGATTATATTTTGTGATAAGATCAATACTAAAACGTTTGTATTTTAATCCCTTTTCTCATATTAATTTTTCATTAAAACTACAAAAAAAATTAAAGGTTTAAAAAATTTATTAGAGAAAACAGTTTGGGGCTTTTAAATCGATTAATATTTGATATTTGTATAGTGTATATTTTTATGCAATGTGACTAAACCAGGTGATAATAAATATTCATTTTTAGTTATGAATTAATTAAATTAATAATTATATTATCGTATTAAACTCTACTAATAATTGTTCTTGAGTGCATATAGGTGAACCCTTTTTATCCTGAATTGAGATTTGTAGAGTGGAACAATAATGATTGGCCAATGCATTTTTTCTTCACTTTGCCACTCGAATTTATCAATACACTCAAAGATTGACAATCTCATCATGGTAAATGAGTGAAGTGTAAAACAAAAACTAATAAGTGCAGGTGCAGCAGACTTAGTAGGAGCTGGAGGTTCAACTGCAGCCGCAGTAGCCGGAGGTGGTGATGTACTGCTCGATGGTTTAGGCGTGGATGCTGCTACTGGAGGTGGCACGTTGCCTTCTTCACTAGAAGGCGGCGTTACTGGGGCCTCTGTTGGTGGCGAAGCAACTGGTGGGGGTGTAGTCGAGTTCGATTCAGGCGGTGGCGGGGTTTCAGTTGGTGAATTGACTGATGTAGTATTGGATGGAGGTGGTGATGCTGGTGCATTGATTGATATAGTCTTGGATGGAGATGGTGCATTGTTGCTTGGTTTAGTTTTAGTACTCGGGGATGGAGGCGATGCTTTTCTTGTTTTATTGTTAGATTGTCTCGATGGAGTCCGGACCGGGACTGGGGCAGGGGCAGAGGACTTCTTGGCTTGAGTACTTGGTGTTGGAGCTGGTGCTAAGACTTTCCTAGGAGGGGAAGCATTTGTAGCGGCAGATGGAGGTTGCTGCGACCGAGCGGAAGATGGACCGCTAAGCGTTATAATACCAGCGATTTGTAATACAGAAATGCTATGGGGTTGCGCTTCGACGGTGCCGAGCAATTTGATGTCCATGTTAGGACTTGCACCAGCGGGTCTGAAAGTAATTGCACCGTTGCCGTCATTGTTGACGGTCAATGTAGATCCTTGGTAAAGCGTGGGGAGGACCGTCCTAGACGTCAAACTTCTGAGCCTGGTTTCATCGTAGTAATCGAGTACCACGTGGAAGCTGAGGATTTGCCTGACATCGTTCTCCGCTTGGTAATTAAAGGACCGCAATTGATCGTTGGCGATGACGAGGACCGTCACGGCTTTCTGGTTGTTGATTTGGCTCGCCAATCCGGTTCCAGTTAGACGGGAATTGAACGTGCTGAGAACCGACTGAGGATCTCGGTGATGTTTTATTTGTAATGTGCTGTGAGAACTGTTGCATCAAACAATGGGTTTTATAGCAAAAAGTGGTTCAAAGAGAAACACTATATTTGTAGGGTTTTGAGTTAGTTTCGGCCAAGTAAAGGGGATATCTCTTTAGTCAGATAAGACTATGAGATCTTTTCTTCGAGCTCTATATTGCTACAACCTGTTGCTCTCTGTTCTATTATCATGGAGATGGAAAGTTTTTTCGATTTATAATATTTTTAAAGAAAATTATATTTATATTTATATTTAAGGTTAAAACTATGTGTATGTAAGGTCGTCATCCTGGACCAAAACCCACAACAGCCATTGTCACTAAGCTCCCACTTTCAAGCAACTTTAAAGGTCCTTGGTTGTCTATTATCAATGTCCTCTCTCTCACGTGCACAGGTTTGTAAAACCCGACATCTACGGAAAGGAACGGTGAAAATTTGATTAAATGATTATATATTTAATACTCGACAATTAAATAGAGAGTGAATCACGAGATTTACAAAAGTCATAAGAGTTTGTTCGGTCCTTGATACAAAATTTTAAGGTGTATACGAGAGAATGTGTATTTCTTGGGAATTAAGGATACACAACTTTATTATTGAACTAGATACCAAGGCAATAACATTATGTGTTAACAGCCCGTTGAAGAATGGATCTTCCTCCATAATACCATACATTATGGCTCTATGTCACCGAGAGTGGAAATTGATGTTTCAATTTATACCGAGAGAGTGTAATTTAATTGCCGATGGGATAATCAAACTTGCCTGAAAGCTACCATATGGAATTCATGAATTTCATAGACCACCTGCTGAAATAGAAACGATCCTATATGGGGAGGAATGGCGAGAACGCTGAAAGAGACAATTTGCTACATGAAAAACGAGGGGTATAGAGGATCACCTAGATGAGAGTTTCATTCCTAATTTAGTTTATATCATTCATATTAAAAAAAGTACGACCAACATGACCAAATAACGTCATATTAACTTCCTAATGACACATTATATTGTTGTGACCTGATTAACGAATGGCCGAGTGGCTAATTTATTACATACAAAATGATAATATTAGTGATTGTTTTGTTATTTTTGAAACTTTAATATTGAAAACAAAAAATTACTCATGATCCGATGACTTATTTGTGTATTGTATCCTAATAATAATTAGGGTAAATTACGTGTTTGTAGTGACGGAGTCAATATTAAATTTTAGTAGGGCCGAAATATTGAACTCTTTTTTTAAAAAATACAATGACTTATTACGTATTTAAACTCAAAATTAAGAAAAAATACATAATTTGTCTAATATTTAAACTTACAATGACATAAATTGTTATTAGACCAAAACATTTGAGAACATGAGATTATCCTTCTTTGTCCCTTGATTAAATATTTAATAAATTATTGTATTTTTTTACTTGAACCAAAATCTATCGAATATATAAAATTGTTATTGGGGCCGGGTCCCCTTTGGGCCCCAACATAGCTCTGTCCCTGCGAGTTTGGTACTTAAATTATTAATTTTAATCAATTTTAGTACCTAAACTTCTAATTATTTTCAAAATCATACTCAACATTTAATTTGTGCTTCATTTTAGTACTTCACCGTTAAAAACTTAAACGCAATTCATTTTTATGGGTAAATTATACTATTCATCACTAAACTATATTTCACTCTCATTTTGATGCTAAAGTTTAAAAATTTTAAATTTAACTACACAACTTTCAAATTATTCCTATTTTAATGGCTCTAATTTATTTTATTAATAATTTTTGTGATATGATATTTTTATTATTATTTTATTAATATATGGTTAAAAATAAAAAAATAAATTTAAAAATTTGAGTGATTAAATTAGGAGCAATTTGAAAGTTAAGTAATTAAATTAAAAAAAACTAAACTTTAGTGACCAAAATATGAGTAAGAAGATAGTTGCGTGATGAATGATGTAATTTACCTATAAAAAGGTACCACGTGCAAATCATCCATTAAGTTTTTAACGGCGAGTTATTAAAACAAAACAAATACTAAAAGTTGGGCATGATTTTAAAAAATTTAAAGTTTAGGTGCCAAAACTAATAAAATTGATAGTTTATGTACTAAATGTATAATTTACACGAATAATAAATATAAGCTTCTTTCCTTCTTGAGTAAATTACGTGTTTAGTCACTGAACTATTAATTTTAATCCGTTTTAATACCTAAACTTTCAAAATTTCAAAATCATACCTAAAGTTTAGTTTTTGTTTCATTTTAGTATCTGATGTTAAAATGTTTAGTACCTAAAATATAAATTTTGGTTTATTTTAGTTGTAACCCCCTCAGACCGCCAATCCAGGGTGTCACATTAGGGCCACCGGAGCGACTCACCATAAAAATAGTGGAAAATTTAAAACTTTTATTAAACGTGTAAACTCATAAGATGATTTATCATTATTAAGAAATAAATCAGATTTTCAGACTTGTATATAAAACAAAATACAATAACATGCCCCTTAATCACATGTACCATCTTCTGCAAGCAACGCCGGAAAAACTCCCTTATTGATGTCGATAGCTGCACTGGTACAATTCTTTTAACATGCAATGGTGAGTAATAGACTGAGCTTCGGAAAGCTTAGTAATACAGAACTACCAGATGATACTA